TTGGAAATTCAACTAATGGGGCGGAAAGGAATGCCGTGTGCAATGCATAGTTATTAGGAAAGTGCCACAGCCGGGTATAGTTATTGGGGTCAGCAAGAATGTTTACGGCACGCGTCCGCACGATATAAAACCGAAGCAGGACGGGTGGCGTGTCACAATGCTGCCACCTTCTCACAATACAGACAAAACCACAAGAGCAGAACCATTGTTACGATGCTCAGTAAATTAATCATTGTACACATTTTATTTGTTCAAAATTCTCCAAAAGATTCTTCGTTATTTGTAGCTTTTCAGAGGCTCAATCGAATGTAAGAGAATGTAAAAACGAATTATTTCAAACACTCAACTATTGTAATTAATTCGCTCTCGTGAAGTTGATTGAAAATCAATAACCCTGTTTCTCCGATGTGGTGAATATTGCCTGTTGGCGCCGCATACAGTCTGTTTCAATTACTATCATCCATTAAACTAGGTTTTCGTCAACAACATCATAGCTAATGGAAGCGGTTCATTGAAGTATGCTATGACTTCAGCGAGCACACAAAATGGAAATGAATTAAGGGTAAAATCTAAGTCCGTGGCTAGTTTGATAAGCAAGCCTTTGTTTTCATAACAAGGGCAAGAGTCGATGTCCATATCAGTAATTAATCAATACCTTTTGGCACATCTAAGCCCTGTATAGTACATACCATTCTCCTCTGAAAATTAACTTTGTCTAGTTAATTCAATTAGTTTGTTTTGAAACGTTTATACATCGCAGGCCCTTGCTACGAGATCAGCTGCAGAGATAGTATGATATACACCAAATAAAGATAATGTATGTTAATAGAATGAAAACGTTATTTAGATACTATAATAATTTACTTCCATGTCTTCTACAAACAATGCTCTCTCGGCTTTTTGATACCAAATTCCGGATTGCGTTATTATTGTGTCCGGAAACGAGTAATTAACCACCGGAACTACAATTAAACCCTTACTTAGACCAAGTTTGCACTGACAAGACCTTATTTCATATCACTCCATTACAGTGTGTTGGAATTGACCGCTATTTCACATTAATTTCCTATTTGAAAAGGTTAACCTTGTGACCTTATTCGTCTTGTATTAAGTTGCTCCCAAGCGTGTCATTTAGTTTTGACTTGTGTTGGTTGACGCGGCCGGGCTGTGTGCTTAGCCTAGCTACTTATTTAACACCACATGTTTGTCAGCTGGAAACTTAATTGTGTAGACAATTTATTTTTATTCCTATCTAACTAATAATGTAACTTAATCACATCAAACAACTTTCATTTACCCAAATTGTTTTTTTTTAAGTAGGCTTGACTTCGAAGCCTGTGTGGTAATTGTTTCTTAAAATTTTCAATACTTTACCTCTAGAATATAACACTCAAGCCAAACATGTTTTTCTGGTATAAGTACATACCTAGTAGTGCCGCTAAAAGTGTATATTCTTTCAAATTAACTTCATCGAGCAATATAATATTTTATACATAGCTTCTACAAAAATGTTTTTATTATCATCACAGGCAGTCAGAAATATTTACTATGTGAAAATGATGAGTAGATAAATACAATAGAAGCGAGCAATCTGAAATGGACGTAACCCAAAATCAAAATGTATGCCGGTAAACCATGACAGATCATGTAGCTACTGTTCAACCACACATGCAGATAATAATTACTTAGTTTAATAGCAAAGCATAATATAACGAGAAATTTTAAAATTGAAATTTACAGAACGATTTAATCCTGGAATAGTGTTGTTTAAAATTAATGTTTTAAGAATCGCAAGAAAGTTATTGTAAATGTACCATTTCTAATCTTTATTTATTTAATTTTAGCTGTGTAATCAATAACATGGTTATCTAATAAGCTATTCTGTATGTAGTTTCTCTTCCAGCCACTTTTGATATAGAGTTTCGAACATCGCATAAGCGCAGTGTCGGCATGAATATCTGATAGGGTAAGTGAGAATAGGGCACGTAACTCAATAGAGCTTGAAGGAATACCTGCTTGAGCCGTGCAAACAAGCACTTGAATAAGCAGAGATCGTGCAGCGCTCGGCTACCGCCGCTTGCGCCTATAACCATCTTCACAATTCCTTTTCATCATTTCTTTTCAAACATCCTTTGAATGCAACATCGAAACATGCATTGACTTTTATGATGCAATGTTTATTTTTGCTGCCTTATCGAATGTTCAACGCAATAAAAATAGAACTATATTTTTCTCAATGATGAAACTTACGTACCTATATACTTCTAACTTTTTTCAAGAAGGGGATGATTTGATAATGTTTTAAAAATGAATACTGTCTTAGCTTAACAAGCTTAAACAGGAGAAAACAAACAGAATATTGTAACCTACTCAAGAAATTATTGATAAATCAGTAAATGATTTTTCTCATCTACTTTGAATAATTTTAATACAGTATGTTATCACAAATTTTGTGATACATTTTATTTTAGGAATGATACACAGAGGAAAAACACATCAAAACATAACTATCGTTAATGTTTTATTTCTGGTCAGACTTTCCTTATTTTTGGAGTAATCAGAAGATTCTTCCTCAAATAAGAATCAATGTACGTACATGTCTTATATCTTAAAAAATCCACACTGTAGGTATACTTAGCAACAGATTCTCGGATTGAAAGACAAGTCTTGATGGATAATCTTTTGAAACAAAATTTTCACATATAATGAATCGACCAAGTTCTCAAAAAACATTCTCCTTCTATATCTATTAGAGTAATGTACCAATAAACTTTTTTTTTTCTTTGAACATTGTAGGTACTTCAATCCAACTTTAAGACTTTTTTGAATAACCTGAATCTAAGTTTGCAACAAATTTTTCTACTTTTTACAAAATATTTTTTATCTCTCAACAAATTGGGTAACTTCCACTATCCTACCATTGAAATCAAAATTCAAACATATGTATGAGTTTGTAACAAACACTAGAAACTGTATTCATGCGAGATAACTTAAATATACTTCGAAACCGTTCGGTCCCTAAACGCTATTCGTTTGAACAACTTTAAAGTTGGCTCAGTATTAAAATCCCTCAAAGGTGAAGTTGTACCGCTGCAAACAAAAATAGAAGTATTATGAAGTTTGGTAACATAAGCACTAACGGTCTAAAGGGCGGCGAAGTGTTTGTGAGTGTATGAGTCGCAGCGTGATGCCGGCCCGACGTGATCCGCATACCGTGTTGTCCCCGCGGGCAAACCGAGCGATATTTGCTTTTTTTACTACCGCATCCATATTTCAACACCAATACCCCCAACAATATTTGGAAGTACTGAGAGCGCTAATGCGTGCGTGGCAGGAAAAATGATATCCGCCCTTACATTCGATATTCTCCGCGTTATTCTTACAGGAAAGCTGCAATTGAATAGTTAAAGGGGCGGATGACCACGTTTAGCTATATAATAGTTAGGTTTTCTCAACAATTGTAACTTTATTTTGTATTTGGAAATCTAGTTAGCAATGGTCTAACAATTTAGGTTTATTGCTCGAGCAATTTAATGACTTCTATTGCAAACAATTCATTTGACATTTTTAATAAATGATTTCTTAACTGATACCTTAAATGTATCCTGCTTTTAAATATAATGTAACTTACATTAATACATGACTTAAATGAGTACTATTTACGACCATCCGCAATTAGGTAGGTACTGTAAAGTAATAGTAGTTACATTTATGGATGGAAATATAATTTAAGTGGACAATGAGCAGTGTAACTTATCTATATGCGTTAAGGAACGTTATAGATAAATTACAAACGTTAAACTAATAACGGTTCATTATTTGCGGGTTTATAGTACTCGAGTATTTAGTATACGCAATAAATATTCGAGTCAGTTTGACTCGAATATTATCGCATTAGTATGCTGTAGGTGTCATTCTTGTAGGAATAATTTTAAATAATATGGACGTCGTACTTATAATATATTAAGCAATCGAAAACATGTACTATACCTTAACTTAAAAAGTACTCTGATGCCTTCATTAAAGCGGAATTAGTTTTACATTCCAAAATTTTGCTAAGTATTTCTGTAAACTTAATACCTGTTTAGTAGTTAATAAATGAGTTATGTGTAATTCTCAGTTTTAAGAAAAGTAGGTAGTATGTTCAAACAGTAGCTCTATAGCCCTTCAATGAGTGAAAAACAAACTATTAATTATGTATCTTAATATTAATTAAAAGCTAATTAAAGTAGTTGAAGTGGCATCAATGTATCTAAGAAAGTTGGTGTCAGTGATAGTTCGCGTTCGACAGAAACTTTCCGCGGCGATGATATTGATACACTCATAATTTAATTTTAAACTAGTCTTTTAAAATATGTAAGTTTCTTTTGTTAAGCGAGAACTCTCTCTTGGCTCATCCAAGGCGAGAAAGAGTGTCAGACTCTTAATGACTAAAAACCACTCAGTTCCGACTCCTCCTTCAGGCCACGGGAACCCGTTAAGTCTTCCACGGCCTTGGAAGCATTTAAATATCTAAAAGATGTTTGTTTTCTTTCCGCTTGATATATATAAGATTTTTTATATGCGGACGAAATCGCGAGGAACAGCTAGTTATATATATTTGTACAATGTGTGTAACAAAAATAATCATTCACGACCGTACGTATTAAAAGTGAAACAGTTTTTTAATACAGAAACAATAAATAAAACAACAAGGAAACAAAAAAAATTGAGGATATGCTAGTTCCAGAATTACACAACATGAACAATTGAAAAAACAAAACGTGAAATCAAAAGGTTAAATGCAAACTGGAATTTGTTTCTGATATTTGATAGTTCGAACTCGAAAGATTATGCCAACATAATGTTCGATTTTCGGGACTCGCAATTATTTTCGTTACATTAATTCTTATAAAACTCTCAGTAGGTTTCTATAGACATGTATTGTGGAAACAGTTCAACAGAAATTTGTTATTTTGTTAAAATAAATATTAAGGAAGGTATGTTTTTCTTTGTTTCAGTATGTAATCAATTTGCACGAAGCGTAGTTGCTATGCTGGGTGCAGTTGCTCCGGATTCATTCGACACCTTGCATTCTTACGCTAATACCTTCCAAATGCCGTTTGTCACGCCGTGGTTCCCCGAAAAGGTAAATTTAAATACATTTTCATACCTTACTGCATGCCACAGAGAGGGATTTATAGGTATATTGACCAGCTAAAGCTCTGCTTTTTACTGATTTATCCCATAATAAAATTTACTCAGATGGACAACTATGCAAAGTCTGGATTGTACTATGAAACTATTCGATAGGTTGCTGATGTTTTTGACGTTACTCTAAAGTTTGTATTATAGCAATATTAAAGTTTTATAACTAAAAACCCGAACCCAAAACTTGAATTTGTTATTATTACTTAATTAGAACACTCAACAAATTAGAAATTCGATTTAAAAATGAGTGACAGTACGACACAATCACATTAACCGAATATGTCAACATTTAGTTTGTTTGAGTATTTAGTAAACATTAATCAACACAGCGCAGCACAAATGGCACGCGTCTGAAGCATGTTTGTGGAAATCAATGTCAGTTGGTATTCATACCAAATGCGGAGTGTGACGAGTTCATCAAATGCCTCGATTCAGTCTCCTCGAAACGTAACAAAATTGTCACTAACTACCGCTTCAAGATAGGAACAGATAAACTAAATCAACATTCGAATCATATCAGTGCATTTCTAGTGTCAAGTACGAGGCTCTGATTAGCTTGATAACCCAATATTAGTAATGTCTGTGAATTGTTATTCTTTATATTGTGTTGGAATAAAAAAACCGTAATACCCAAACTAAATATTTATTTTCCAAACACATCCTCTACACCTTTGATTACTTTTTCATCGATACAGAGAACAGAAACACAGCATAGCACACAACAGAGTAACAACATAAAACAGTAAATGGCAGACCATGCTTCCACAAATATGTGCACACAACATGACATATAGTGACTAGTAAACATTAACAATTATTTTTGAATCAACAATTTGATTTAAAACAATGTACCTAAATGATTCATTAGGCACACAGCACAACATACATTTACATTTTGCAAAAAGAAGACGAGTGATTCATTGTGTCCCAACTCAAGCACCTGTTTTAACAAAAACGACGCGGGCAATTTCCGAAGCTGAAACTTTCATCAAGAAAATTGACACTTCACAAACTGAGTGCTTAGAAAGTCATTATATCGTTTCGATCCTACTCTCCCGCTACATTATTTTTATTCAGTGTTAAAACTTTAGCCAGGCTTGGTTTTTGAATACTGACCGAGTCAAACTAATTACTTTTAATTAAAGACAGACTTACTTAAATGTTTATCATTATTAAAGTCAAAGCTCTGAAACGCTCTCCATTTATACTCAGTCAGTATATATACGGTATTTGCTCGTACTCATCATATATATTTTTTATGCTCCAACTTGCTGTTGTAGTAGCATAAAGTTTAAAGTAGTCTGTACTTAATTAATTAATACAGAAATCATTTACTGAACACTTGACTTTCATTTAACCCAAGGTGCCCTGAAAAGAGAAAAGAGCAGACGGTTTTTATATCTACTTAAAATATTCTAAATTAGTTGTATGCACAAGTTATTACGCAAGTACTTAACGTTTGACTTTGTAAATGTGAGTACTAAAAGCATTTCGAAACTAAAAACTTGTACAAATTACTTCACACGATCCAGACTTAAGCGACTGAGCCTAGGTGCTCAACTAACTAAATGATTCAAGGAGTACCCGCACTCAAACTTCCAGTGCCGCGTACTTGGGTAACACGGCAGTTTAGTTTTTCAAGGGTTTAGTCTGAAACCATTAGATTGTTACTCGGGACTTTAAAATTATATTCCATGCGTTGTGTCGCTTAAGTAGCTTTGTGTTAATAATTTACGCGCTGACGAAGTATGAAAACTTAGTTGAGCGTTCAGTAAGTTTGTTTCAAGCGCAATTTTGTATACTTCGCACGTTTTAATCTGCTTACTTTATTATCAAATATATTTAGATGGAGATAAAACCATGAAATCTTCTGTTCTTAAGAAGAAGCCATCAATCTTTTACTAAAGGTTATGAAAGATGATTCTCGAAGTTCGTATGTTATGGATAATAAGAAATGTATTTGTTAATAAAATAAAATTTTGATTTAGTTTTGAAATTTTAAAGTTTTTTAAATGAAACAAAATCCTTTTTTTAAAATTTGATGTCATCGCTATCCCTGGTTTTTAAATTTGGCTTTGTACAGCACAATGTGAGAAATAGCATTTTGGAAACATACATCGAGCAAGAACAGAAAAATAATGAATTATCAAAACAAGATTTAGGTATGTATAATTTATTTTTAGCGTAACTTGTTAAGTGGGTATATTTATTTAAAAATATATAATATATATGATACATTTCAATACAAAATAATTTACCAGAGCAGGAATAAAAACGAAAAGAATATCATGATTATGCTAATTGAAAATCCTTCATTTTGCTTAAGTAGGTTGCATCAATACATTTATAAGTACAAGTTGAAATCGTAAATTACATCTAATCAAAATACTTTATTGATATTGGCAACATATTCTTCGGTATTATTCCTATAGTAAAGATCAATCTTTATTCCTCAGTAAAACTAAAACTAACATTTCTCGGGAAACAGACTCGTGTCTGAAATTGAGACCTCTTTAGGGGGAATCTCTGATTGGGTTGGACTTAATTTGATCCAATTTAACTCCACTAATACACAGGTCTGCATGTCTAAGAAGAAGAAACTGCCGTTACATTTAAACATCTCATCGGAGCACCAGTTAGGTCCCCACGCTCAATGAATGCACGTCACATTTATGATGGATAAGGTCTAGACATCCTGGCAAATGCCGCCTTTGTTGCCTATAAGGTGTACAGCATCAACGGCCATGAGAAGGACCTAGCCCAAGCAAGTAATGACGATGAGGACTCAGGAGATGATGACGACTTGACTGAATCCATAACAAGCTCTAGAGATCCAGCTAAATGGTGTCTGCTGTTAAAGTTCTCCAAGGGACAATTACCAAATAAGGTTGTAAAGTTTGTCAAAGGTGTAGCAGACAGCATCTCTGACCCTACAGATAGGACTATTGATGCTCACATTAAATCCATATCCGTAGCCTTTGAAAAGCGTTGATTTCTTAGTCATTTGTTAGTCGTATCTCCTCAGTTTCCAAGCACCTCCCTAACTGCCTCAGCCGGTATTGGAATACCCGGTGTCAGTATTTCGAGCGAAGTCCAGTTCCGCGGTCATCTAGAGAATAAGGCCAAATTAACCTCGAAGCAGCTTGGTGTGCTCAATAGATCGAGGCAGTATTTCACCCCGGCCCACCGCCTGTTTCTATATCTTTGAGCGGGGGCACCCCAGTACTAGCTTCTTCCTCTGGACAGCGTGCCGTTCGGATTGTTAGATGTCAAGATGTTTCTAACCGGCTAGACAGTTTGGCAATGCGTAGTGATGTAGCTTAGTTGCGCAGTTTCTATCGCTTATACCACGAGGACTGCTCTAAGGATTTCATTGACCTGATACCTACCGCATCTTTTCGCCATCGACTCTCACGACAGCATATGCGTCTCCATCATATAGATGGTGGCCACAACTGTGCGCCCTCACGTAGCTTTTTGCCTCGCACACCGAAATTGGGGAATGATCTGTCAACGGCGGTATTTCCGAACCGATAACACCTTCCAACCTATAAGAAAAGTACAATATTCCTTTTATAAGGCCGGCAACGCACCTGTGACTCCTCTGGTGTTGCGAGTGTCCATGGGCGGCGCTGATCGCTTACCTTCAAGTGATCCGTCTGCTCCTATTCCATAAAAGGACTATATCCAAGGACGTTGAAAAAATGGCGGGCATGGTATCTTTAAACAACGACTATGGCACCTGGCTACTATAGACTTCCACGCAGAATACACACACGTTGATACGGAGGACACATAATATGTGCAATCGCATAAATAGTATGTGCTGCTAGTAACTAAAAATAATGAGTCTGTCATTTTAAATTTATTTCAAACTAGCTGTGCCCGCGACTTCGTTCGCGTAGAATAGTGACTATGAGCAGCGTTTTTTTTTTAAATATATACTTATTTTTATTTTAGATTTGGATCATAATCACAGTCATTTTGGGTAGCTAAAAAACCTACTTTACTGTAATGCTTCTCTATATACAATATTAGACGTATGGCCATCGGGGGTGAAAGCATACAGGCTGCTGGGATTGCTAACACGGGACAGAGCCACATACAATTGACCGTGCGAAAAACAGCTGATACTTAGATCTATACCCACAACTTTTAGAGTCTGACCTTGAGCTTTATTAATTGTCATGGCGAAACATAGGCTCACTGGAAACTGAATTCGTTTAAAATTAAACGGAAAATTTTTTGGAATGAGAGGAATCTGAGGAATAAAACCACTATCACCTTTTCCGCACCCTGTTAAATATATATATATTTATAAGCCATTTCTGAGATTAGCGTGAACAGACAAACAGACAAACAGACAAAAAAAAAGTTAGTTACATTTTTGGGTTCGAAATCGACATAACAATAGCCCCTGCTATTTTTTTTATTTTTATTTTCAATGTACAGACAGCACTTTTCTACAATTTTATTATATGTATAGATACTTTGATATGAAAGATGGTACAATAAAACCCGTTTTACAACCAAATTTTACTTCGGCAGTGATTACAACATTTATACATATATCTAGGTACCTTTTAGCTTATACATGTCTCATTCACTTGTTCAGTAATTAAACTCGGAAAGACCTTTTAAAGTGAAATTGAAATACTGTCGCTATGGTATTATAAAATATTAATTTTAGAAATTATGAAAGGAGTAAAGAAATACAGTATAAGGTACTTAGAAAATGATTGGAAAGACATTTTGAAATTCAAATGTTTTAACACTGTAATAATTAGATGAAAACTAAAAAGAACTTGGATTAGAAAAATTTTTATTTTGGTAAATTGAAAATGATTTTACTGTTGCGTTCATAAGTGAGGGCGAGGTCGTGTATATGAATACAGATGCATATTACTAAAAAAGGAAACGGGAGGTTAGATAGAATGCCTGTGGTATTAACCCCGCTTTGTTAATTTTTATATTGCATAAAACTTTAAATAACTGCCTCGTTGGTCCAGTGTTCTCATTCTCACAAGGACTGACACAGGTCTTAGATAAAATTATGAGGTTGAGCCGTTTTCTTAATTTTTAACAATAACACGATTTCTAGTATGGTACCTAAATGCCTGATTGACAGAACTATTATTAGATAGGACCCACAATAGACGTAGAATGGGTGTGACATTGTGCATAATTTACCTGCCTTTCGAGGTTTAAAAAGCTCGCCATTTTCATACCTTATGATATTTTTTTTTATACCCCGACGGTGGCAAAAAAGCACACGGCCCACCTGATGGTAAGCGGTTACCGTGGCCTATGTACGCCTGCAACACTTGGGGCATTACATGCGTCTTGCCGACCTAAAAAACCTATTCACCGCCTTCTTTATGATATTACAACTTAATACGAATTTGCAGGTGATCCCACCATCTTCTGGGCTTAATGACTATGCTGTCAGCTTGCGTCCTGACTACCACCGCGCAGTCATTGCTACCATCACTCATTACGGTTGGAAACAAGTTATTTACATCTACGACTCTCATGACGGTAAGTTATATCTGTGATTTTTTATACGTTTTACTAACGCAGCCCAATTCATGTATCTATCGATTAGTAAACGTTAAAAATAAATTTCATTTCATATCAATCAGTTATATAACATGTAACGTAATTAACGCACACCCTCAAACACCCCAATTAGAATATTATGTTATAATCATAATACATACACTAAATTTTTTATTTAATATGTATATGCATCCTTACTGGTCTTGTCATGACGTTTATTTTTCTTTATTATGTATTGAATGATAGAATTTGTATGAATACAAATAAAACTGCGATTATAAAAGTCTTATTGCTTTGACGTACGGTCCAATTCGATTTGTTTTAACAATACAGGGTTAATATGACAATAATTTCCGTGGTTTTAATTATTTTACGGATAAAAAATTACCTATACTAAAAATTATATAAATCGATTCTGAACAAACTATTTTCAGAATGTGCGTTATTTAAGTTACATACAACATGTAACTTAAATATTATTCATTACTATGACACAAGGCGTACTTAAAAAATCCCTATTGCGAACGCGGGGATTTGGTCTCATAGAAAATGGAGGTAGATCTGCTCGACTCGTCCGGTAGTTAGGTTGACTCTACAGTTTGATACGTGTGTATTTTTGAAGTGTTTCTCATATTATTAAAATAATATTTTCCTTTCTTATTACTTTGATTAATGATGCAGAAAATGACTCGCCATGAAGTTCTGTATGACATGGGCCTCTTTTGTATGACGAATATTTACATTCTCTATAATTCAAAAGGTAATGGAATTTGTTACTCTCAATAACAGACCAACTATGTATAAAAATCAATAACACGATTTTCAACTGTTTTTATTAATTTTGAAACCCGCGTGCCGTTTGTCAGGTCAACTATGTACACAGCACTATAACAGCTAATTTCCTAAAGTCGAATACAAAATTTATTTCTGTCAAAAACTTTACTCAGATATCGAAAATAATTTTAAAGCAGGAGAACTTTATGGTCTCGGTTAATTTGTAAATAAAGCGTGCATTAAATTTCTTGCATGCTTATTATTATTCTAAAATAAAGACAAGTAAATGTTGCGCCTTCACTTCTGAGCGAAAAAGGCGAATTTTAAAAGTGGCCGCGTCCGGAATGTTAATTCACCGTGGGGCTGAAATATTTTCAAGCCTCTTCTTCGAATAATGAGTGCAGTATTTACAATGATGAGATAATTTTATATTCACGACGCGTATACCTAATTTAGTCATACGCTATCTCTTTTTTCGTTACTTAACATAAAAAAATGTAATAATCGCCTTAAAACTTTGGGAAAGACTCTGAAAATACTAGAAACAGAAACGAAGAAAGGCACAACATAGCTTTCATAGGTCAGAGTCCCTTCAGTTCCCATCATCAACCTTTGATCTGATGGTTTCAAATGAGTTGCTGGGGTAATTAAAAAATCTTGATGATTCCATTAAAATAATCCTTCAGACCATACCAGAAATTAACCTTGAGATCAATTGAGAGCCGACAAGACTTCATTAAACAATGTTTTTGCCGCGGTTTTGCTCGCGTTTCGATAATGGGTGCAGAATCAAAAAAGGTGTAGTTGTTGTAAGTCACACATAGACCGCAAACCAATTTTTAGCTTTGTATGTATGTACATAGAATATTGCGAAATATTCCATACCAAATAAAAACTAAAGAGAACGGAAAAAGCAAAGGTAGCTTATGTCGCTCTCCATCCCTTTAACTATATGTTTTTTATTTTTTGCGTTTTGATTTTTGACACTTTTTGATTTTAGTTTTTGTTTCTTGAAGTTCGTTTTTTAAACGCAGTTCTAATTTTAGGCACCATCGGTTATAAAAGATTATATCTAGCAATATTCTGTAGGCTATGCTTTTTCCGCCCATTAAATTTACGTATCTATCAAATTAACAACCATTCCATGCAATCCCTTTGAGAAAAAAGCACACGTAACAACATATTTCGAAAAAATAAACTAAATAAAAAGTAATATGAACATTATGTCTTTAGAGTCGTATAAACATGGATACACAGAAATACGATTTTTTGAGACGCGTAGTCACGGATCCGATGCGACGTAAAATTCATTTTATGTCACAGTCGCAGGATCACCTCAGAAAAAGGAGCACTTTGCAAACGGAAAAGCCCATTTACATATAAAATGTGGTTGAGTAGGTACGTATACTGATAGCTATGAATACGCACGTTTGCTAAGGAAACTGAATAAGTTTTGTTGTATCCAATAGAGTTTAATACCTAACGATATTTAGTTAAACGGAGCACGCAGTTTCATAACTGTTAACTTGTAAAAGTATTTTGATATTGTATCCGTACATTACACTACATATTTACATTTTAACGACTCATAGCAAGAGAACGCAAGTTCACCTTAAAAAACGGGTTTTACTAAGAGAAAATCAAAATAAGAAAGACATTAAAAGCAAGTGCGGATGTAGAAGCAGAAGCTAAGGCTCGCGGGTGCCAGGTGCTCTGCAGATGCTAAAGAGGTAGGTACGGTATGTAAATCAGATTATTCACTACGTTAAAGAAAGTAGCGATCCAAAAAGCCTGTACTAAAGGCTTAGGTTAATAAGAAGCCGCATACTGAGATATCTAAAAGAACAAAAATAAACTAGGGATCGGATTCGCGACGAAAACGGAAGACAGATCGTTCCGATATCCAAATAACACCCACTTCAGAACGTCTGCTACATCAAAGCCGATCTGTGTACGACACTAATTTGAATACCCATCTACTTTGACTACCCAGAAAAGAAACCTTTTTAAGTTTAAATGTTAATCCATTGTAGATAATGAGTCTTTATCAAATGACAAGACACGTATTAACAAAACATAGTATAAAATATCGGCGTGGTCAAAACAAATAAGATACAGAGAAAAAACAACATGGAGTTCAATTTTATGTTTGTGAATAAAAATCGTTAATACTATTTACCAATAATAACGAGCCACGTTTCCTAAACTGTGAGTCAGAACGAAATAAAACGTCATCTGAGATGTGGTACAATTCCCAGTGATTTATCGAGTACGAAACATAAAAAATAAGGTTGCGAGAAGGAGGAAATACGACCTAACCGGGAACTCTCCCCGGAATGAGCTTGTGGAGCTTGTCTATGAAAAGTTATAATCTGAGATACCTACTCCCGAGCAAGAGGTAGTTTGGTTTATAAAACTTTTTCAGTTTTTCTGAAGTGTCATTGAGCCAAGCTGGCACATGAAGGACGTCGACAGAGGGGTTCCAGTGTAAAATATTTCGAATAAACGTCGAATATTTTACCAAAGTTACGAAGTTACGCATAATATAAATAAATTGCCTGCGTATTCCAGTGAGCGCACCTGCCTGTGTACTTACATCTGATGCTAGTCACCCAGAAAACTACATTGCAAAAAAATTTGAACACGTATGTTTGTTTCCATTGTTGAATAACTGGTAGTTTTGTAAAGGTTTCGTTGATTGGGATCTGTTCGTGGTTTCTAATTGGCTGACATGGTTTGGCTTATACGAATACTGAAATTGGAACGGTTATTGAAAAAAAAAACGAACTCGTGGATTGCGGAATAGGTAGGTATATAAATTCAACGAATATTTGTTTAAGATAATTAAAATCTGGACGGTCGTCTAGTAAACTCAGAATTACTTACAAATACATAGATCAATTCTATATATTACAATACTGCGTAGACGCGCATTAAGATTTATATTTACGACAAGACATAAAAGCACGTCTTTCTGATGGGGTCTTCTAAAACCAGTGTCAGCTTATTTTATACTCATATCACACTGGCACCACGAAATAGAAATTCTTTATATGCAACTTCAAAGTCAGCAGAAGTCGTAGTTTGATCCTTTCATTACAATCGATTACAGTCCCACACACAACGTCAATCATTTACTTATTCCGCAAAAACAATAACTGCCCAGTCCCGTTTTTGGTTCATGGCTTTACCATCAGTTTCTGAAAGGTTGGTCTATTCTAAATAGCTATTAAAACTCTTATACGGTGACAGTTGAGTTACTTCATTCATTGTAATGAAATAGAAATTGACACAAAAGTATACGTTTGGTTTGATACTTTTTAATGATTTTTCTTCAATTTTTTGCAGTAAAAGTAACAGGATACAATTTAAGCTGTTTAATATTTTAATATTCACGCGAGTACTATTTGATTTCTTCGACGCAACCACCGCGTCGGTCATGTAATAAATCTTCAGAGGGTAGCTGAGAGATTTTATGACAGCAATAGATTACATAAACGGCTCGGTCTGTTATTGAAACTCCCTAATCGTCAACTCGATACAAGCAACAATGGGGACGTGATCCCAACGCATTGTCGCTACAGAATAGGAAGGATTTACCAAGATTCTGAATAAAACAAGCTAGCATCTCGACTCAACCGAGTAAATGCTTTTGTAATCACATGGCACGAGCGCCTCTGGGCCAAATGCAGAATAAACTTTTGAGCCCCTGTTTAGTTATGGCTGTATGACTTCATTATAATTTGTTCGCCAGCAGTCCATCGCTTTGTGGTTTCATCTTCGGGTCCGACTTAATTAGAAAACTTCTTACTGCCTAGCAAGCCACATTTCAAATATTAAGTTCACATTTTTGTGGAGAACATAAAACTACTTCTTGAAAATATTTATCTTAAGTAAAACTAGGTAAATTTCATAATATTTGTAAATAACTTCGTTTCCGTTATGAATCTTTTACCTACGTGCAATGTCGTTAAAATATTTTCTCTTTAGAATAATACTTTGACAATACATCTCTTCGTGTAAAGATCAGCTGTATTCATTTATAAATGATATTTTAACGACCCGAACCCATCAATTTACAATAACACCCAGGCGAATAAAATTTTATGCATAGATATTTTAGAATAACTAGCAGGTCCAACGTGGTGTCTCGATAGGAATGGTTTTATCGACTTCCAATTTATTCAGCGAATTTAATGTATAAA